CGCGCGGCGCCGGGCCACCGGGAGGATGAACATTCAGCCGGGCGCGGGCCGGGCTGCAGTGTCCCTGCAGGGACACACAGCCACCCACTCCCTGGGAAGGGACACCCCCACTCTGCCTTTTCCCCATCACGCCCTTCACTAAGGGATGCAATCTAATCGCCTAATAGTGTACACACACTCTCTGGGCCATATATACACAACATGGCAGACCCACATGCCTTAGACACACCAGAAATGCTCAAGGTACGCCACCAGGCCCGTGACAAGGAAAACCCCAAGCCACACAAAACAAGCACACATCAGTGACCACCAGTGCAGATGAATGCACAGCTTTGTACTTTGTCTCCACTAGTGGAAATACCCACATCGATATACTTTGTGCATGAATGCAGAGGCCCTGGTGTGGGCCTCCTTGGACAGCACCATCAAAACACCAGGTAGAAAAAGCACACACAGAAGAAACACATTCCTGAAACTCCAGAGGGACAATCCCAGAGACTCCTCCCTGGTTCTGGAAAGAACTCAGGAGAGAGGAGTCAGACCTCAGAGCTCCTCTCCTTAAAATCTTTGTGAAACAAAGCAAGACAAACAAATGAATCTAAAGCCAAAGAAGTATCACAGAGCCATTCAAGGAGAAATTACATGCCTGTAATAACAACATCTTGGGAGGCTGGGGCAGAAGAATTACAAGTTTGAAGCTAACCTAGGTAATTTAGTGAGACCCTGGCTCAAATTTTTAAGAAAGAATAAAAATCTGGGGGTGTAGCTTAGTGGTAGAGTGCCCTGGGTTAAATCTTCAGAACAACAACAATAGAGAAAAGCTGGGTGCAGGGGCTCATGCCTGTAATCTGAGGGACCTGGGAGATTGAGGCAGGAGGATTGGAAGTTCAAGGACAGCCTTGGCAATTTAGGAAGACGTTTTCTCAAAATAAAAAATAAAAAGGGCTGGGGATGTAGCTCAGTGGTAGAGAGTCCCGGAGTTCAATCCCTAGTACCACACACAAAAAAAAGAGAGAGAGAGAGAGAGAGGGGGAATCAGACACACTTTGGAGTCATGGAAACAAAGATGAAACAAGCAGAATTGGAATTCATGAGAAGATAGCCCCACCCCACTCCAGGAAGGTTCCAGAGAAGAACTCCACCCCCACTCCAACCAGGTCACAATGGCTGGAGCTCTGAGGGGCTCAGGCCCCCTGAGCCAGGAGGAGAGGAGGAAGTCCAAGGAAAGATGGTGAGTATAAGGGCCAGAGGGCATAAGGGGCATAGAGAATACAACATTCTGCTCCTGGTAACTTCCCTTCTTCTTCCCTAAAACTTACCAGTGGTCCTAGAGACACATAAAAATGAACTCATAATGATGTACCCACATGTCCCTGGAGCTTGTGACATCACACAGATACACAGCATCTACACAGCATCAGAAGCTACCTCCGCTTTCTCAAATCAACAGAGCATCCCTGGGTCCTTCTTTTTCTCCTTTCAAGACTGAACTACCCAGAAAAACAGGATACTCATACTCCTGCACCACTCACTCCTGACTTCCTGCTTTAGACGCTAAAGGCCCACATTGTACCACTACATCTATTTTTCAGGATCTTTTATGTCCTTTGAGTTCTGTAGGGTCCCAGACCCCAGCCTGGCATTCACCTTGGGCTGTGATTGCCCTCATGCTCGAGCTCTTTTCTCCCTAACAGGCTGGCAGTCACCCCTACTTCAACCTGCCGGACTTCACCCAGCCATCGCCGGCCTCCACTCCGCCCAACCTCCCCTCGAACCAGCGCTGCTGGCCCTCGGATGCAACCAAGGGCCTGCTTGTTGCCTTGCTGGGTGGGGGTCTGCCTGCTGGCTTCGTAGGCCCCTTCTCCCGCATGGCTTACCAGGCTTCCCACTTGCCTTCGCTGGAGCTGCTCATCGGTCGATGCCTCTTCCACCTCCCCATTGCCCTGCTACTTAAGCTGCGTGGTGACCCACTGCTGGGACCTCCTGATGTCCGGGGCCGGGCCTTCCTCCATGCTCTGCTCAACGTCCTCAGCATCGGATGTGCCTACAGTGCGGTTCAAGTGGTGCCTGCTGGCAATGCTGCCACTGTTCGTAAAGGTTCTTCTACCGTGTGCTCCGCTCTCCTCGCCCTCTGCCTTGAGAGTCAGGGTCTCAGTGGCTACGACTGGTGTGGCCTGTTGGGTAGCACCCTGGGATTAATCATCATTGTGGGACCTGGACTAGGGACACTGCAGGAGGGGACCACAGGCCTCTACACTGCCCTAGGCTATGTGCTGGCTTTCCTAGGAGGTCTGGCTCTATCACTGGGGCTTCTGGTCTACCGCTCCCTGCACTTCCCCTCCTGCCTACCAACAGTGGCCTTCCTATTTGGATTGGTGGGGCTTTTGGGCTCTGTGCCAGGCCTCTTTCTGCTACAGACCCCTGTGCTACCCAATGACCCTCTGAGTTGGAGCTGTGTGGGAGCAGTGGGGATCCTTGCTTTGGTCTCCTTTGTGTGTGTGAGCTATGCAGTCACCAAGGCCCACCCTGCCCTGGTGTGCGCTGTCCTGCACTCTGAGGTGGTAGTGGCCCTGATGTTGCAGTATTATGTCCTCTATGAAACTGTGGCACCTTCTGACATCATGGGGGCAGGGGTCGTGTTGGGCAGCATTGCCATCATCACTGCCCAGAACCTCAGCTGTGAGAGGGAAGGGCAGGTGGAGGAATGCCATCAAACTTGAGAGCCTGGGGGTTGGGGGGGGACAGGGGTAAATAGGAGGAGAGACTGGAATACAAACATGGGCGTACAAGTGATTGGAGAACAACTGGTGTGGGAGAGGGACACCCCTCAGTCAAAGGTGGAGAGGGATATTCGGAAGATCTGGAACAAGCCTGGGGATCAAGGGATATGGAGTCAAGGCTAGGTCCTGTGAATCAGGGCACAACTATAAGGAGTAAGGTCTCAGATCCAAGGGGCTGATGCAGGCTGGCTGTGGGCCACCAGGAGGATTCCCCACTGCAGCAGAGAAGAGCATTGGGGCAGAAGTGTGCCAGCAGCGGGCATTCAGGCTAACAGACAGAGCCAGCAGCTGCACTGGGGGAGGGGAGTGTGCCTTTTTCCTTAGGCGATGGTTTCCTTTCCTCGTGGTTGTGCCCCCCTCCCAGGGTGGTGACGTGACACTGACATCAAACAAGGATCATTCTGAATGTGGCTATGCAGTCGGTGTCATCTCTGCTTTGGAGGGAGGGTAGAAGTCCTACACCTCTCTTATTGGAGAATCCCTTGGGATCCCCGCCCCCCCAATCTTATTTCTGAAATATTCTATAAAGTGGAGGATTTCCTAATGTTCAGATTCCTTGACACTCCCCCCTACCCAACCCCCCGCCAAATCCCCTAGGATTTTCGTGTTCCGCCCCATGGCTAATCTGCTTTTCCCGGATTGTTGCGGTCCCGTGATCTCTCCCAGACAGTTGCTAGCCTCCTTCCGGAGCAGGCCTCTGAGCTGAGGCCTCTTCGAACGGCTCAGCCAGAGGATCCAGCACCAAAGCTGAATTCAGCGCTCGATTAGAGACCAGGAGATGCCCACTCATTCCTGAAAGCCGCTCGACAAATACTGCCTACTTCCGGACAAACGATTGAACTCGCCATCTTGATCTGTTCATGCATATTCAACGAGAAATTGCATATTCATGATCAAGGACGGACCCAGCACTCCTCCGGGAACCTACTCTGGAGGACCCGACCGGCCCCGCCTCCATTACCGATCCGCGGAACAGACCATTTTCCTGATGGGGGGGATATTAATGAGAGACTTTTGCTGAAGATGAAACCATACTCCAAAGTAGAATTAAAAAGGCCTAATTTTGTCCTCGATCCTTCAAACCTCAGTGCAAGAGGGAGCAGAGAGGGGAGGGGGTGGGATTAGGAAAATTGCCCTCCCCCTGTCATTTCAAAAGGTCTCCCAACCAGAGATCCTGAGAGGATCAACGACTCCAGCGCGCGCCCCGTGCGGGCCGGCGCAGGCGGCCCCGTAGCGCAAGGGAGGGCGGGAAAGGAAGGGGCGGGGATGCAGGGGCGAATCTATAAAGGGCGTCATTCGGCCAGTTCGCTCTTCAGAAGCGCCGAGAGCGCGACCGGGACGGTTGGAGAGGAAGGCGGCTCCCGGAAGGGGGAGAGACAAACTGCCGTAACTTCTGCCGTTCAGGAACCCGGTTACTTATTTATTCGTTACCCTTTTTCTTCTTCCTCTCCCCCAAAACCTTTTCCTTTACCCACCCCCTTTTTTTTTCCTTTTTGGGAGCCGAAAATTCTCCGGAAAGGGGGAGAAGGTTTCCTTTCGTTCTTTTTCATTTCCCCGCCTCCTTCCCTCCCCCACCTTTCCCTCCTCCGACTTTTTACTCCCAACTCAGAGAGGTCCTTCCCTGTGGCCGCCCCGACAGGGTCTGAGCACCTAGGTGGAGGCGGCGCAGGCTTTTTGTAGCGAGGTTTGCGCCTGCGCAGCGCGCCTTCCTCTGCCATGCACGGGGGTGGTCCCCCCTCCGGGGACAGCGCATGCCCGCTGCGCACCATCAAGAGAGTGCAGTTCGGAGTCCTGAGTCCGGATGAGCTGGTAAGCTGCCGTGCCCAGTCCCTCTAATTATCTCCTGCGCCAGAGGGCGGGACCCAACAGTGACTGCAAAAACTTGACGCTGTTCACTGCCCACAAGTGACCGGCAGGGAAGATGGGTTAGCGGCGCTGAGGCCTTTCAGGGTCCAGCCCCGGGGCTCCCAGATAAGTTTCGTAAGGTTTTAAGCAAGCTTAGCGTGTGGGTGAATTACCGATGTTAAACGAGATGAAATGAATCCTAGAGTTTAAAAACTAAGTTCGAATAGGAAACCGACACTCAGGTATTTTTCCCTCCCCTGCTACAAATATTGAGCAAATGGGAAACCGACACCCAGGTATTTTTCCCTCCCCTGCTACAAATATTGAGCAAATGTTATGTGGCAGACACAACAGTCGCTGGGGATGCACAGCTAGCTTCAAGAGACAGACGGGTACCTTGCCTTTTAGAGCATATTCTGTCGGAAGAGGCAGAGGAGGTGGACAAACATTTGAGTTAAGCGAAATGGGAGTAATGTTATGGAAAGGCACTGAGTTGGTAGTAAGTTAGATGGAATGGTGTCTGGGTCTGGCAAGGACTGTTTGAGGTGAAAATTACCCATATGATGAGAAGCAGCCAATCACATTAAGCCATAGATTCTGGGGAAAGAGGCAGAAGGCCAGAGGGAGAAATACCTTGGAGACTGAAAGGCCACCTTGGCTGGAGTTTGGTGGGCAAGTAAGAAGAGTGTTACAGAAATAGGAGAACCATGGGATATTATAAATCATGGTAAGGAGACAGGATTTAAATAAATTTTCAGTAGAAAGCCATTGGATAGTTATAAGGACTATAATGATTCAATTTACATAATATAAACAATATATATGTGTCCATATGTGTATGTACCCATCTATCGTGACCTCACATCAGTCATACCACAGAATAAATTTAGATGAAGTTAGTATTTAACAAAAAATACAGGTGGCTTTTGGGGGTCTGTACCAGAGGCAGAACTTTAGTAATAATAAATTAAATAAAGGCAGATTTTATGGTGAACCTAAAATGAGCTAAGCATTATACATACAAGGAGGAGCAAAGTAGATTTTATTACATAAAAATAAGAACCAATTCTGTTTATCAGAGGCACCACGGACAATATATGCAATATGATGTATAAAGATAGATTTATTATACACATACAAGGGATATTTACATGAAAGGAAAGTGCATGTCTCCAGAAAAATGAATAAACATTATGAATAGACAGTTCACAGCCATAAAAACGCATTGAAATTACTAATAAAAACAAAATTAAAACTATTTTTCCTCCTGACAAAAACACCCTGAAATAGGGATGGGATGTAGCTCAGTGGCAAAGCATTTGCCCCACGTTCACAAAACCCTGGTTTCCATTTCCAGTTCCAAAGAAGAAAAAAAAGAAAAAACTGGGAAATAGGCATGCTTACATATTATTGATAAAAAATAAATTTATATAAATTTTTTCTTTTTGAAGACAGTATGGCAACTTAATCAGTCTTTTTTTGTTTTTGTACATGAACAATACCTTTATTTAATATTTATTTTTTAGTTGTAATTGGACATAATACCTTTATTTTATTTATTTATTTTTATGTGGTGCTGAGGATTGAACCCAGGGCCTCACACATGCTAGGCGATCGCTCCACTGCTGAGCCACAACCCCAGCCCTGAACAATACCTTTATTTTGTTTAGTTATTTATAGGCCATGCTAAGGATTGAACCCAGTGCCTCACACATGGTAGGCAAGCCCTCTGCCACTGAGCTAAAGCCTCAGCCCCTTTATCAGTCTTGTAATGTGTATATCTGTTGACTCAACATTGCCACTTCTAAAATTTTATTCTTAAATAAAAAAAACTTAATTTCTCCCCTGAAACATGCCCTTCCCCCTGTTTTGCCTGTTCAATAAATGGCTTTTCCATTTATATTTGTTCAGGCCAAAACCTAATAGCTAACTTTGATTCTTCTCTTTTTTACTACTGACTCCATCTGCCCGTTTGTTCTGCCTTCAAAATATACTTGGAATCCAGCCATTTATGACCATCTCCACTATGTTCCACTCCACCATTTTCCCCTGGGACTAGCCTAGACCCCAGTTGTTTTTCCTGCATTTTGCAGAACAGGTAGAACAGACTAAAGAGATCATTTAATCTCATCTCTTCCATTCCCTACATGGAATCCTCTCCTGAGGATTCAAATTCCTTACTCTGAGACCTGTTAGGTCCTGTATTATCTGGCCCCTGCTTGCCTCTCCATCTCAGTACCAGTCTTGTCTTTATTTTTCTTTGATCACTCTGACCTGCTTGTCCCTTGACAACTGAAAGCTTATTCTTGCCTCAGATTTTGTTTTTCATTGTCCCTGCTGCTTGGAACTACATTGCCCAAATGTCCACATGCTAATTCTTTTATGTCAGTATATCTCTCCTCAGATGTTAGGAGCTTTACCCTGACCACCCTATTTAAATAGCATATTCCTGCATTCTCTAATCTCTGCCTTCTATTTATTCTCCTTCATAGGCTGTCTTTTTTTTTTTTTTTTTGGTGCTGAGGATTGAACCCAGGGTTTTGTGCATGCAAGGCAAGCACTCTACCAACTGAGCTGTATCCCCAGCCCCATGGGCTGTCATTCTTGAGAGGTGTGTCATTCTTGCACCCTTGATAGAACCTTGTTATTCACCTCTATTCCCTCAGCATTTCAAATAGTACCTGGCATGTAATAAAAAGTAGTTGGATAAATAAGTAAATGATTGTGTGGAGACACACACAGAAGAAATTTTATCTGTTTGAAAATGAGAATTATGAACCACCTAAATATTTACTAATAGGAACTGTATTGTGTGATTCAGAGTATGATCTTAGAACAGAAAAGCACTGTCCCACTAGGTTAAATCTATTCCCAATTGTGCTGGTACACTTGAGGCACAGCAGCAAACTCTGTGAGGTGTTTTTAATTCTACAGAGAAGCATAGGTGCCCTGGTTCCAGGTAGTTCCGTTTCAGCATTAGATGGCGCCAGTTCCCTTTGGATGATGACATACCTTGGTGAAGCTGGGTTTTTTTTTTGTACTGGGGATTGAATTTAGCGGCACTCAACTACTGAGCCACATCCCAGCCCTGTTGTATTTTATTTAGAGACAGGGTCTCCCTGAGTTGCTTACTGCTCGCTTTTGCTGAGGTTGGTTGGATTTTGAACTCGGGATCCTTCTGCCTCTGCCTCAGCCTCCTGAGCCTCTTGGATTATAGGCATGCATCACCATGCCCCACTGAAGCTGGATTATTAATGGATGCTAAGGTACTTAATAAGTGGCTTTTTTTTTTGGCTTAAGTATTGCTGTGAAAGTTACTGGAACACTAAGAACTCTGAACTGATAATGTTAGGAAATCTTCAGTTAAATGAAAAAATAACTGAACAGTATGCAAAATGAGACCCTATTTATGTTAAAATAAGAACAGATTAGCTTTTTTTAAAAAATGATAGAACACTGCTTACAAAATTGAGGGAATCATCTCTGGAGTAGAGGAATATGGGGGACTTTTTGTTTTCCGTGGCTTGCAATTTATGTAGTGTGCATGCCTGTTTTTGAGGGAATAACAGATGGTTCCACTTTGAGGTGGGAGGATGGATAAGAGTAAGAGGCCTTTTGTGGAGCAGGTGGTATTTAATGCTAGTGTGGTCTCTAAAAGTCATGAGGGGTGGGAGTGGGGGATTGAGGTACAGAAGACTAAATTGGCTTTATTATAGAGCTGTTGTCTTTGCTGTTATGAAAAGGGTTTGTTGTGTAGAGGGAAGGAAGTAAGGAGGGTTGGTGCTAGGATTTTTTTTTTTTTTTTTTTTGGCTCAAACTCTACCAAAGAGCTACACCTTCAGTTCCGAATGTACCCTTTTAGGTAAGAGTGTGGGATACAATTGATGAAGAAGATTATCCTTGTTTTCAAATTATTTATCATCTAATGAGGGATCTCCTATACAGGCAACAAATAGTTTCTGGGCCCCTACCATGTGCTAGTGACTACTCAGTTCATCAATGAGAATATAAAGATAAATAAACATGATCTTTGTCCTCAAGGATTGCAGTCCAGTGGGAATGATAGATGTGTAAGAAAGTAGTTAAAATTTTGCTTAGAACCTTGGTGGGCATAGATAAGGATAGCTCATAGTGAATGAAGGCTTCACCAGAAGGGAACATTTGAGCTAAGTCATATGAATAAATGGAGGTTTACTTGAAAAGGGGACATGGAAAGCCAAAGGAATTT